ATAATAAGTTCCAAAGCTGAGCCATCGTTGATTGGTCGGATTCCGATGAACAGTCGTTCATGTGCAGCTCGTTTGACGACCTTAACTAAGGTCCATTCACTAAGTAGTACAAACGCTGTTTGTTTGTGATTTCCACTTATGCCCCCACCGAGTGCAGTTCTGATGCTGTCAAGGACACATTTTCTCACGAACTGAACACACTACTATGCAGTGCTACTAGTTCAGATACTATAGTACTTTTAAGAGATGTGAACGCTCAAATAGGGCGTCTGAGCTCTTCAAAAGTTCAGCTGGGTAGTAAATATGGACTTAATTCCGAACGGACTGACAGCGGTGAGCGTCTGCTGCAACTGTGTGCGGAGCACCATTTGTTTCTTAGTAGCACTGCTTTTAGACACATTGGGCGCCGAAGTGCCACTTGTCGTCCTCCTGTAGTTGGCCAACGATGAACCCAAATTGCTTACTTAGCCATAAGTTACAGGTGGCGTGGCTCCATCCTGAATTGGCGCTTGTACTGGGATACCCGTGTCGACTCTGATTATGTCTTAGTACACTGTCCTTTGTCCATGAACTTTCTCAGGATGCGTACCAAGCGCTTCCCCTGATTGGCAACTAAGAAATTGTCTCAGCCCCCGGCGAGGCAAGCCCATCAAGACGCACTGCGTACCGAACTTTCGCTGTCTTGTCCTAATGACACTGAGCTCCAGTGGAATAGGATCTCTGCCGCCATGCACGACGCAGGAGCATTTGCTTGTGGCACTATCCATCGTCACCGCACCATTCACTGGATATCCGAGAGATCGGTGAACCTGTTGGAATCCAGAAGAAACCCCGCTGGCTCTGAGCACAATGGGACCAGACAGACTGTTAGGCGCGAATTAAAGCGGAGCCTACGTGCTTACAAGGAGACCTGTCCTACCAGTCAGGCTCAAGAAAGGGGGGAAGCAGGAGCAGGAGACAATTACCGCAAGCTCTTCTAGCTTATCTGCACCACGGGTCCCAGGAAACCAGACTTCAGTGAGTCAGTCATAGACAGCGTGAATGCACTGATACACAATAAGAAGCGCCATATGGCTCGCTGGGTGGAACACTTTCAAGATCAGTTGGGCTGGCCCCCTGCTTCCGGACCTCTTTCTACTCAGGTGATGCAGGACGAGCTATGGACGGTTAGTTTAGAGCCTCTGTCGTAGGCCGAGGTCCGAGACGCGATCACAGCCCTCAATGATTTTTGTGCCGCTGGCCCGGATTCTCTCCCACATGCACTATTTAAGGATGGAGGTAAGGTCCTCTGCAAAACACTGACCTCCCTATTTGAACGTATCTGGAAGTAAATGTCCCGGCTAACTGGAGCGCATAGATTATAGTGGCAATATACAAGAAGCGCAGCCGTACAGACTGTTCGGACCACAGGGGTATTAGCTTAACGCCAGTTGTGATAAGATGACTGGCATCGATTCTCGTTCGTCACCTCACTGTGCAACGGGAATCTCGGATTAGGGAAGAGCAGGCCGGTTTCCGCCCAGGACGTGGCTGTGTCGACCATATATTCACTCTGTGGCAGCGCCATGCATACCGCAGACGGACAATAGCTATGTTCCTCGATTTCATGAGTGCGTTCTATTCAGTCGATCGATGCATTCTGTTCGAAATACTTGCGCGGGATAGTGTTACCAAGAAATATGTGAATATCCTACGAGCTCTATACTTGAACACTACAGGCTGCGTCGAGATCTACAATGATCTGTTAGATAGTTTTCCAAACACAAATAGTGTTCGTCAGGGTTGTCCGATTTCCCCGTTTTTGTTCAATTTCGTCGTGCACTGGATCCTGGAGCGTTCCCTTGCGAAATCTCACGATGTAGGTGTTGAGCTCCTGCCTGGTGAAAGGTTAGTTGATCTTGATTATGCAGACGATATTCTCTTGCTTTCTAACTATGTTTGAACGGCACAGTTAACCCTGGATAACTTCTGTAGAGTAGTCCCGTCATTTGGTATGCGCTTTGCACTTTCAAATTGAAGTGTTGCTGTAAGACCACCAGCCACTTTATGACCCCTTGATCCTTGTTAACGAGGAACTCGAGGTGATTGGTCGATTCCGTTACCTTGGCAGCTGCATCAGCAACGATGGGCGCATAGAAACGGAAGTCAGTTCGCGCATGGCGAAGACCAGAACTGGCTTCTTGAACCTGCAACATCTCTGGCGACAGAAGGGAGTTTCCCTCCGTCTGAAAGGTCGACACCAGTGGCGCGTCTGCTGCCGTCTGCTAGTCCGATTGCCTGTGTTCAGTGTGTTTAGTGCTGAGTATCTGCGGGGTAATGGCTGATTATGACGTGAGGCAGTGAAAGCCGCAAGGAAGCTGTCTCGCCCATGCCGCCTTAGCTTTGCATGATAGCCAGCTATTTGCGACAGTATGTTGTTAACACAAGGTATAGGCTCGTTGACCCTGGAATTTTCCTTAGGGCGTTGTGGTTTTCTGGTAAGGGCCCTTTTACTCCCTCTAATTCTTCGCTCGTAGGTCGTTATGGTTGTGCAGCAGCGAAACATCAATTCAAATGGCTGACATGCTGTGGTTGTTGATGATAATGATGATGTGAAGCTGAAGTAAAACATTTTCCTATATGGGAGTGAGAATTGGACCCATCAAGCTGAGGATCTGCTGGCATCGGATGGTAGTACCGCATCAGTAACAATGGAGCGTACAAACGAGTGGTGTGCCGTTAGCTGAGTGCGTGAGGTCAAGCAATACGGCTGAATATGTTGCGTTGGTTTGAGTACGTGCTGAGCATTAATGCACGCAAGGCTTTGCGTTGTATGACAACGAAGCATCAGTTTGAATGGCTGATGTACTGTTTTTGATGATGGATGATGATACCGGCCTTTCCTTCGAAGTGCAACTACTTTCTTTCGCCAATAATATCGCAGGTTTTGGTAGGCATTTCTGTCTTTTGCAATGCGCGAACTAACTTCAGTTTCTATGCGCCCGTCGTTGCTGGTGCAGCTGCCTAGTTATGTTACTTGATCAACTACCTCGAGTTCGTCGTTCTCAATGGTCAGCGGGTCGTCAACTGGCTGTGGCTCCTGCTGCAACACTGCACTTTGAATTTGCGAAGCGCATATATGTATGTACGTAATTTCAACGGTCTAGCAACTGGATATCATGGCCAACAAAAATCGTGGAGTCTAGCGGATGAGGGGAAGTCATCGCGTTATAATCATCGTGGCATAGTAGTTGAAGTTGAGCAACACACTTCAGCTACTATGCCTTTGGAAGGAAGGAACATTTTGACAAAAAGTAGAACAAACCATTTAGTTTGTTTTGCAACCACCGATTTCTCTTTTTTGTCATTTTCTATGTTTAAAAGATTAAGCATATGAATCATTAAATTTCTGTACCCAATTCCTCCACTGATTCCGGTTGCGGGCCATGTCTTCAAGAGTGTTAAGCCATTCTCACTGCTCATCTTTGGGTCCCATGCTGGAATACGTAGGGATCCAGCAGCGGCTTGACACGACGTCATCGGTTTCATGTGCTGTCGCCAAGTGGAAAGCTGACCACCACGCGGTCGCCTTCAGCCAGGTCCTTGACGAGCGACTAGAACGCGACGCGGTAGATGCTCAGGTGCAATGCGTAGGAGGTGAGCGGCCCATCTCAACTGGCGCAGCAAAACCAGTTTGTTGAAGGGAATACTCGCATTGCCCACGATGCGACGTGGAACGTAATTACTGGTAACTCGATGTTGCCACCAAACACGAGGAATTCTCATGAAGCAACCATTATCAAAGTCAGAAGTATGACGCATGTTTTCCATACGAATCGGCCCGGACTCGTTCCCATACAACACTGAGCGAACAGATGCGCTGTAAACACGATTCTTTAGCGAGATTGAGATGTCGCGATGACGTTACAAGTGCGTCAGATTGGCAAGTGCTGATCGAGCTTTAGCCATGCGAAGAGAAACTGCTTTGCTGATAATGCCTTCTGCAGAAACAGCTCCCAAGATAGACGAAGCTATCTACTTGTTCAGGTTGTGCACCTTCGAGAGTGAGTATGGGAACAGCTGAAAGCCCGTCCTAGAGGAGATGGTACCAGGTCGTCAGAGCGTGGCGTAACCAAGAGGCAGTTATAATAATGGACCTCATATTTTCACCTCATGAATCGCTTTGCTGTAATCTATACAGATTACGTTGCTAGATTTCCCCTGGTTCACGGTTTGTATCCACATATGCGTCGTCACGAGACTTAGACTATACGTAAGGGAAGACGAGGTATCGCGTCTCTCGTGGTGTCACAACCATGGCACAGTCCTGCTGAGCCAAAGGATATATTTTGCGCTCTCGCGCTGAAGATACTAAACAACCTCTTCCGTTGCGCAAACTGTATCCCACGGTCGACTCAATTTACTGTGGTCTTTTAGACCTCCCCTAAGTGAATAAATAAATGCTTTATTCTCCTCAGTGTGAGGCACGCTTGCGAAGGCCTTATTCTGATAGTGCAAGCACATATGATCGGTACTTAGACATGGTCAGTGATTTTGTTAATGTGACTCTGAATTCCTGATTTTGTTCGCTGTGTTTGCCGTCGTATGAAGGGATCAAAGAAATTCTCTCTGGATGGTGACGTTCGCGAAATGGGAAATATCCTTAGGAAAGAAAAGTGATAGTGACTTTGTTTAGTGGCTAATCCCATCCGCCGCGTCGAGGTCTTGTTAAACGGACATTTGTAACTTTTTATAGGGAGCATGCTTGCCAGGCGGAAATTCAGCACTTGATAGACTACTGCCGCCGAACCATTCGCTGGAACGTGACTAACTCGAACCACCCAGCTAGCACCACGGGAGGCATTTCGGCTAGCCAGGTGTTGCCTCCTTGCTTTTGTCCTTCCTTATCTATTTGTCCAAGCACTCACTGATAAGGACATAAACACTCACCATTAACCTTTATTTCCGCACATCAACTATGACCACTTGCAATCCGTCTCGCATTTTTTTCCTTTTTTCAGGTTTTTGTCAATTCGGAAAACTCATTTGTTGCTCGTACACGCTTCAGCGAGCAATTTTGTCTTCATGAACTACGCGAGCGATTGATTGTTGGCTACCTCAAATTCTTGCTCAAGTTCTTTGAGGATATGGCCGAGGTAAAACCAATGGACTATGAAATGTCCCGTTTTTCTTTTATAAAACACTTCGTGTTTCTATGGAGTAAGCAGTTTCTGATGAAATTTCACTTGTTCACCTCAGCACCTAAGAGGCCATATAGTCTAACCCCTTATCCGTAAAAGCACCAGACGCTCGTTTCGCTCTATTAGGGCTCGTCAGTGGTGCGCAATCCCTCGGCCTTCTGCTGGAGATCAAACCCGTGATCGTTGGCAACTTGCGGCAACTAGCCAGCGACTTATGCCATTGAGCCATGGGGGACGGAGGCAGATTGTACAAACTTGCAAATTAACTGAGATATAGCGCAACCTGTCCTATTTTTACTGGGACAGCATTGGATCTTCCACCTAGGAATAGCGGTACTTAGCCAACGGTAGACTAAGTGCACTCAATTTATGGGGAATTATGTTGAAGAACGACAAAGAATGATTTGAGTAGCTGGATTCATTTTGTGTCCGGCAGAGAACTTCTTGATCCGCACTGATATGCTACATTATTGGCAATATCTTTCGTTAAAGTTCAGTTGCCTTCCAGATTAACTAAAATGTGGTATTTATGCTGCGTTCAATGGTGTTATCACAATCAGCCAAGAAATTTTGTATCTAAATATTGTCATTTATCAATATATCTTCATGGCAGTTGCTTTATAACCTCTCCAGTTGTGAACCGTCGCAATATTTTAGTGAACTGTGGTTGTCCTATGGAGGCCGCAGTGACAAGCAAATCCGGAACCGGATGTTGTCATCCATGGGGTTCTGTTTTGCGACTGTTCGCCTTAACCTTCTATCTAAACAAGATATGCTTCTGCGACCATATAGTGTAACGATGCAATCTTTATTCCCAACTCCATCCGGATCCTTTCGCTTACTACATTGTGAATAGTGGATGTGTCTTTGTCCGACTGAAATTCCATCGACTGTACGAAAGCCATTCGCTAATGGTTTATTCTGGATCAAGAAAGTAGCTCAATGTGGCGAACAGTGGTTTTACATGTTAGTCACCAAGTCTTCTCAAATGCTAGCTTTATCATTGAAGCTCAGCTTCCTCTTCACTGCAGTCCAACTGTTCTGCTAGCCTGTTGTCGGCTGAAGTTGGGTTCGAAGTGCCATTGCGATAAATCGGTCACAGCAGTCTGTGTGTCTTCTATTCTTTGATGCGTCCTTTCCGTTTTTACCCATACACATTCTACCTACCGAGAATAGATCGATGGCGTGAAAGCATATATTGGGACCAACTAGAGATTCACCCTAAGCCTCATTCTTATACATACCTGTTATTTCTGAGATAAGGAAGCGTTTTGGACACGTTATGAGGTAAACTAACATCGCTTCTGTTTCAGGAAAGGTAGAATAGGGGATAGCTATATCGTCGACAGACTAATGTACCAAGGTAATGCCCCTAGTTCGCAATACTAATAATGAGCTACGACGCGCTGTGGATTCCGATGTTCTATATTTTCCAGACTATTTTTACTACTAGACTGCATACATACTGATTTCATGCTCTTTGCAGTCAGTTACCATTCGTTTGGGCAGCATTGTTTACCGATTCGTTCCTCGGTTCCATACACTCCATGTTGAAATTTTGTGTGATATTTCCGTTTCACAGACTGCTGCTGGTCGAGTACCGGGCCCAATCCTTCTACTTTTGGCTAAGCTTTGTCTTACCTGGGGTCAGTCGGGCACTGTTGGTCACTTGTTGGGTCTCGCAGAAGAGATTCTTGCAGCTGGTATGTTGGGCTACCATGCTTCCACTCACGTTGTTCTTCTTGTCTCCTGAATCGTCTGATCCAATTCATTATTGTACGCGTTGGCATCATCCAAATCCTCAATCTAACGCACTGTTTTCTTCTTGTTTACAGCACATTAGCTGATGTCTGTTTATTATCTAACGTGTATTGTGCTATGATATGGTATGTTTTCTTCTTGAAACACATCGGTATGCTGTCTTGACGAATCGCTAGCACGCGATCTCCACTATTTGCATACGGACTAGGATACTGTGACGTCGTACACACCTAGGTAAATTTGAACCGGCGACCTATGGATTACATGACAACCCAGTTATATGTCATGCCGTCGCCCCCTGATTTGGATTGGGGACGCCAGTAACCAATTCGGCTTAGTTCAGTGGCGCGACGCATCAAGCTTCGCTCGCGCCTAACCGACGCGTAACTTGCTCTTGCGAACTGTGCCCTGTCCGTAAGGTGAACCGTCGACTGATTGCAACAACCCCGGAAACTTAGTCGCGATTAGCCGCACACACTCTCAAGTTCTACCGACTGACTGGCTGATGCACAACGATTGACGCACACCCCCTAGTCCCCCGCTCAGGAGATAAAGATGACAGACCTTCGCACAGTGAGTACTGACCAGGACGCGCCGGTTTGATCGTAGAGAGAATGACTCACTACGTCGAGGTCTGAGATTCCGTACCCTCTGCACTGACGTTAGAAAGGACAAATTTGTCCCGCGCTGCGTAGTCTGGTGAAGCAAGCGATGGTGTGCAACTTTTGCAACTTATACTAATCGACCACCTGCCGGTAGCTTTCGAAACTTAGTTTATTCTGCGCGACACTTACTAACAAAGCTTCTGCATCTTAATGTATATTACTCAACGAATATGTTACTAGGGACTCACTTTGTGCACAATCTTCGTCTTTACATTTCTGCTTGTGTTTGTACGTCCAACGGATACCACAAACAAGTTATTTGTTGATCATTTTGATTTATGGTGCTTTTTACCGTTATTTGTCCCACATTTACAGCGAACAGGATACCTTTTGTTCTACTCGTAGCCTGAACCTGCCGTGTCCTTTCTCCAACATACGCGGTTATGTTTTCTGTCCTCTCTTTTGCCTATCATTTGATCAACCCCTCCCACTGGTTTCATATCACTAATAGTTATCAACCTGCCCACTGATGCGTTGGTTTTTCTCCCAAGCTAACTATTAATTTGTTACCTTTCAGGAAGCAAGCCATGGCTTACTCCTTCAAACTCCAAATCCACCGAAAACCGCCTTGCATCCGAAGGCTGTTGGAAATTCTCCTTGGAAACCCAACCCATCTCATCCAAAGAAATGAGCGATCTGTTTCTTGACATATCAACTCGTCTCCTGGTTGCATTCGTCCGCCTCGAGGGTACCAGCTTGGCACAACTTCTGCGAAAAAGTGTGGAGGCTCGTGATTGGCTTAAAACGTTGGAGCCTCGCTCAGTGCGTTCGGTGGTGAAGCGACTGATGGACGATATAGCCGCACTAGATGCTCAAGTGCGTACTTCACTAGATATTCGTATTGAAACTTAGTGTACATAGTCTACGTTCTTCATTTACTTGTTTTAAACGGCTGTTAATATATTATTATTATTATACCGTATTGAGGGCGGTGCTACATCGCATTAGGACTTGTTGATTTTTTCCTACCTGGTTGCATCATCATTTCTATTGTGAGGTTATCTCATTCATAATTCTCTCCTCTATCCATTAAAAGTTCTTCCGCAGAGTGAACACACTAACCTCGACTAACTCACGATTAAACACCGTGTTTCGTTTGTTCCACCACGAAGTACTCTTTGTTGCGTATGAACATGACACATTCAGATCTCCAGACATCGCGTGAACAGCCTATCTCCATCATATTGTTTACTCAGAAAATCCCCGACGTCAGTTCTTGCTGGAATGTCCATCTGTCTTGAGTCGGCCATTGCATCGATTTGTTGCGGCACAACCGTGTTACAGCCTCTCTTTCCTCGTTTATACACAGGTTTTTCTCTTTTCCAAAAGTTCTGTTTATCGTAAGGGATTTCCACCCGTATGCCCACATAATGGCTGGCTTAGCTAATTAAGTTGGACATCGTGTTAGAGTAGCAAAGGAATTTCAGTGTTTTTATGAGGTTTGCCACACCGCACTCAGTCGCTTGATTGCAAGTGCAAGGTTGTTGATTTGGACTTAGCAGGGGATCCGACAGATGCGTCCCACTGACGAGCCGCAGAAGGACGAAGTGGCCAATCAGCGATTTCCCGTATTCGGATTGCCTTTTCGACGATCTAGTTGCGACGAGTCTTCTTCAAAGCGCCAACATTCCCCGAGTACTCAAACAGTGAATAGTTGTCCTAATGGCTCATCACCCCAATTGCTGGCGGCTGGCAAGGGAAGTCGTTGTTCTAGGGGCCAGCCCAGTCCTCTACACGTTCATAATGATGGTGTAGGATGAATTGCGTTATATCCCATCAAGTTATCAGTCAATGCGGTTCAGCGCCATCACACATAGCTCAATTACTTAAATCGGTGGCTTCTGCATGTGAGATCACGGAAGCGGATCCAGAAGAAGCCGGCGGATGTACCCTGCTCGGGAGTTGCAGTAGTAGGAAGCTGCCATCAAGGGCTTTTTTGGGTTTGTGGTGCTTGTATGAATGGGTTTAGCTGTGACGATCCTACTGGATTCCGTGTGTCGTCAAGCAATGAATCTCACAGCTCCTGACATGTGACGGCTCCTTCGCTTATGTACACATCGGCTGATTTCTTCGTAAGATACCCTGTTCCGTCACTAGTCGGGTTGAGGTAATCGTCCTTCTGATTTATCATGGCGATACATTATTGTTGCATTTGCCGGCTCTGGCTCGAAAACCGTTTTTGGTAACCGAACAAAGTTTTAACAGAACTACTGGAAATAGCAAGCCGAATCAATCCCACGGATCGTTCAGGTCTACCAGAGAACTCGAGCAAACGGGTGAAGGTTAGGGGGCACAAATCGAGGTCAATTCACAAGTCACCTACACCTGGGCCACAGATCGACGACCAAATCAGTGAGACTGCACTCGACACAATAACGCACTAAGCAAATCACCTCGTTTGGAACCCAATTGGTAAGCTCGGCGAGCACGTGAAAACCGACACCATCGTTGAATTTCACCTTTCTCCCTGCAGTCACCGTCTATATGCAGTTCAGTTGAAATTTTCGCCATTGCAGTACCAGGAGCGAGACCAAACATCATTTGTCTGCTGTGCCTGCATGTACTTTGACGCCATTCTTTCCTTAACTGCTCCATTCTCTCCATAACACTACTTACTAAGAGATAATTCTTTTTGGGAGCACTGCAACATTCCATGCAAGTTTGCTACAACCTTTGTGATATAAATCAGGTAGCTCGTTTTTAGAGTTTCGCAGCTGCTCTCTCCTAACACTGCACTCCACGACGGACCGATTTTCTCCTGCTTTAGACTCGTTAGATTGAGATAGCTTGCGTTGCGAGAGCAACCCGATGCAGTGGTTGGCAGCTTTCGTGATGGACACTAAGTTGGAGCTCCACAGTAGCGTTTGACACAGCGATTAGAAGTTCATTATTGGCTCTTGAAGTACCTGCCGTGTGTCTTAACTGCGACACGCAATCTCATTTGTGGCCTCGATTGACATTGAAGTCAGCCTCTGCCATTCCGATTATTGGGACCGCATTCGTAGTAGAGAGTTTCGGAGCTGCTTTCTCCCAACACTACACTCCACGACCGACCAGTTTCGTCCTGATTTGGACTCGTCAGATAGAGCTAAATTGATCTGGATAGAGAACTGGGCATTTGGTGTTTGGTGGCTATGGCCATGATCATTAGTTCAGAGTAGCGCTCAGTAGCGCTCGTTTTTTCATGTCGGCAATGGTTGACATTAGGCCCCGTTTTATGAGACTCAGCCGTAGTCCTTTGGATCAGTGATGCCTGCGCCGGTTTGCTTCTCGTCACCTGACCAGAACGCGCTTGGTCCCGTCTTCATGCGCTCGGAGTTCGGTGTTTCCATCCTGCGTCCAAATATCGAAAATCGTGGCTACCACCTCATTAACTGCATTCGCCTAATATTCGCCTGTCGTTTTATTCCCCCTTTGAAGCCGCCCAAATGTCACGATGCAAATTTGCAACAATCGGTCACAGTACACATTCGGTTCGTCGACAATCCCGTTGAAATTCCTACATTGGAACTGTGGGAACCTAAGTGTCACTGCGTTAGGGCTTGAGTCTATTTGTTTTTCATTTAACCTGGTACGTACATCTTGAAAAGGGGCTACTGGACTCTAAAGACGCCGTTAGTTTTCATCAGTCTCTCTATCAATCGCATTGTATCGGTCGAGAAATGTGTTAGCATGGTTTCTCGTGCTCTCTCATTTTTATTGGATCGATCATCCGTTCACTATGCCGATTTTCGACAGCCATAATGATGCTTGTGACTTACTTCGCCACTTATCGTCTTACTGATAAGTAGGAGAATTTTTTTTATAAAATTTGCTGATTCGTCTCAACTGCGCACAAGCCAGCTATGACAACGCCCAAGCCTCATCAGTGAGGACCTCCGGTAGGACAAAACGGTCGTATGGTGTTCTTCTCGACTGGGGATTACACTATCTGGGTTGGGTGAATCTGAGATGCGTGAGTAAAGTTATCATATTTTCCTTCATAAGTGACATGTATTTCTACTTTCCCGGCATATCTATCACTTCGATTTCAGATCGTTCAACTCCTTCCCTCTAACACTCGAGGCAGAGATCGCTTAAGTGATTCCCGTTCCAGTCGAAGTCTTATATCTGGCATCCATGCGAGTGGTTCCTCACATTTCCTCGACAGATCCGGTCGACCCTCAACCACCAGCACCGGATTAGTCAGTCGCTCCACGGAGCTCGATCCTTCCCTTGCCACACATTTACGGCGTTTGTTCACTCAGCGCGTCGACATCTTCGACTCTGTGGAGGGTAATCGCGAATCTCTCTTGTTGGGAGTGGTCAAAATAGGACTTAAGGTGATCCACTTTTTCATCTCCGCCTCCGTCGTTTAATTGTTTTGCTTATAGCTTGTGACTCTCCGAAGTCTGCATCTTTTATGCATTTACGGGTTAAGTTGTATTTAGCCACTTTTCGTCATCATTCACTTTTACCATCTTTCTTGTTATGAAGCTATAAGATTGCGACTGGCTCCCTTTGGTAATTTACCTTCGTGATTCCTCCGGCATTGCGTCTCATGTTAGCCTTCGACTGCTTACACATGGCTGTTAAAAATAGCAGGATTGCCCGCTCCTTTTCCTCTTTACAAAAGCTCTTGTCTACACCAATATCACGGGATACTTTTTTCCGCACGTTCCGATCTTGTTTTCCTCGTGTTTCTTAATTCATCTCAGTTCGCTTCAGTGGGTGAATAATTTCCATTTCAGTCATTAAACAACGGTCTAGCAAGCACGCTCATTTTCGGTTATACTTCGTCTGGCCAGATATATACTTAAACTAAGTAAGGGTGGTTTAATTTACCAAAACATTAAGGTGTCAAAGTGACCAGGCGAAAGCTGTACGGACAGTGCTGGCCACGGTAAAGTCAACGACTTAACTAGCATTTTACACACACAACGCATCGCGATCTCCTCCGCTATTGCGAGGAGTCGGTATAACTAGAAGGTCATCACATCACATATCTATCAGCAGTTCAACTGTCCACCATTGCCCTCAACTTGCTATTCTTGTATCCACGGTGTTCCCTGGTGCGTAAGAACCTTTCCACCATCTGAGGCTGAGGTTGCCTATGGTCTTCGTCCTCTGAAACATCACAAGTCTTTCGGTCCCGACGAATTGCCTCCGGCACTTTTCCATGATAGAGAACCATCTCTGCTTTATCAATTGACTACCCTTCTTCAAGAGATTTGGACAACAGAAATCATCCCATCCGATTGGGCCTTAGTGGACATCGGGCCCATCTTCAAAAGTGGCGACCGAACGGATTGCGCAAACTATTGAGGGACCAGCCTCTTCTGCGTTGCGTCCAAACTCCTGGCGCTCCTACTTTTACAGAGTCTCAGTCCAATACGCGAACAGCACGTGAGGAACCGGCTGGGTTTCGCCCAGGTCGGGGATGTATCGATCGCATCTTTACGATCCGCCGGACACCCGGGCACCGTTGAGCTTTCAGCCGGTCTACCATCGTTTGCTTCCTGTAGATACGTCCAGCATTTGACTCATTTGACAGAGCTGCTCTCTGGAGTTATGTGCTGAGAAGCGAAATGCTCGTGAATTATGTAAGCATACTTCAAGCCATTTACTCTCTAATGTTTGGCCGATTGCAGATGTATGGTGGACTTTCGCCCCCTTCAGTATCCCTGGTGGTGTGAGACAGGATTGCTCCACATCACCCTTTTTGTTCAACTTTGCTATATATGATTTATTAGAGAGTGCTCTTGGAAACGGTGAACCTGGTGGCATAGGGTTACTTCCGGGTGATCGGCTTCCTCACTAGGAGTATGCTGACGGCATCGCCGTAATCTTTCCAGGGCATGTGTGTGATGTTTGTATCCCAGTTCGCAATGACCTATGTCCCATCAAAATGCAAGTACACTTCCTCCAGGACTGATTATAAGCTCCCCCTACCATCACCCTTTCCTGTTATTCTTTGGAAGTAGTCGACAAATTCGTTTACTTCAGGGGTCGCATCAACAGGAGTAGATTGACGGATAACATCAATTTGCGCTTCGCCAGAGTAGCCTTTGCCAACGTCTGACCTCTCTGGCTCCGCTGTGATCTCAGCCTTTCTCTAAAAGATCGAGTCTGCAACGCTACAGTACGAGTAGTGCTCTTGTATGGCTTCGAGATCTGGCCCGTTTAAGCGAGTGATATCCAGAGACTGCCTGTTTTCGATCAACGTTGCCTCCGGAGCATCGCTTTAGCAATAGTGACGTTCGACTTCTGATTTTCAAGTCGACAGTCTCTGCTCATCAGTGAGCCACGTAATTTTTTCACTTGCGCTCCGGTGGCTCGGGCAAATCCTCCGTATGTCCCGCCGTACTCTGTTAGCATGAGTTGGCGTTGGATGGAAGCGACGGGGAGGTGGCCATCATGCAACCTGGGTCTTTGATGTCAAGAAGCTGACATTGCAATTAGCCACGACGTGGTGTTCCAGACTTCCAGCTTGGGTGCCCAAGAACATTGAGTACACCTGTTTGGATACACTGTCAGGCATGAGCCGGAATCTTGTCCAGTTGCGAACGTGGTGTGATACTTTTTTCCCTGGATTGCTTTTTCTCCCCTCTTTCTTTTTTCTTGCAATTACCCATGTATTGTGGTATTCCGCCGACAGTTCATTGGCTCTCTCTCTCTCTCTCTCTCTCTCTCTCTCTCTCTCTATATATATATATATATATATATATATATATATATATATATATATATATATATATATATATATATATATATATATATATATATATATATATATATATATATATATATATCACATCTTGACTTTGTCAGACAGCCATCATCTGCACGGAGAACCACTGTGCTGCCGTTTCATCTTTTCTGGAATCGTCAACCTTGCGCGTCCCATCTGACTTATGTGGGGCTCGAACTCGACTGTCCACAGTCTGTGATTAAGACCACTGAACCACGGGCAACGGCAAATACAGTTGTGATTAAGTTACTGGATGTGATATATTGCTGTTCATTATTGATGCCCAGTTGAGCATGGACGCTCTTCAGACGATAAATCAGGCGAAAAGGTTTTGGGATAACGACAGGATGATCCGTTTGGACTAGTTGTGTGCCTATTACGGTGATGAATATCTTGTCCAATTCTCGGCTTAGCCCCGCTGAGTGTTGTTCGCCGACGTGTTCAAGCGAACGTCTTTTGGCGCGACCTATGTAACTTGTCGCACAGGAACAGGTAAATTGTTATACACAGAAGGAGGTGACATCCACAGAGAGTTTGTCCTTCAACTGCAGGTGTAGCTTATGCGTGGAAGTGAAGGCAATGCGGCCCCTCTAGGTGTTAATGGTATCCAGACAAGTTGGCACTGATGCTGTTGCCTAGTGTGGCAACGGAACTTTTTCGCGGCCAACGCACTCAGCTTGGAGAACAACGAACTCCAGTTTTTCATCCCATCGAATTACCCCATTTGTGGACTTGGGCGCTTGTTTGTTTGCGATCCACACTGAGTGAGTTTACTTGGGGTTATTGGAAGAATCGTATTGGTCATCATGTTAGTCACCTAACAAGTCTTAAGTGATTCTGCGATTATTTGTGGTTTAAGTTCAGAATCTTCCCGATTCGTCCCCCATCTTATTTTTCTTACTTGTTTGCCAAATCTGCGTGCAGACTCTGGTGGAGAGCGTGCGCTTACAGACGTTTGGAAAGTATGGACTTCAACAAATTCAAGTTGACTGTCGTTATTTGCAGATCCATCTGTGGCATTTTGTGAACGACGAGAAGTGAGTGAAACGACCATCTCTTTTGCGTCATTTCGAGACGATTTGTTCATTTTTTTCATGATTTCTACGCTTGGGCCCTTCACATATCGTGTATGACATTAGGTAGCCTTCTCTGTAGCCATATTCCTAGGATGTAGCTGTTCCAGCGAATCACACACGTATCCCGACGTACCCGGCTTCTACATTCTTTATTATTATTATTATTATTATTATTATTATTATTGTTTCTGTACTAGTCCTGATGAGAAAGACATAGAAAACAATTCTTTGCCTTACGCGTTACGCTCATATTTATTCTTGCGTTTCACAAACCAATGGTCATTCTCCACGAATTTATTAGATTATTATTATTATCATTGAAACAATTAGTTCCCGAAGACATTTTTAGCCGAAAAGTTAACACAAGAGTGCCGCACGATTTAATTCCGGAAAAATTTCTCCGCATATTTTCAAGTGCGTACTACAGACGTGTGAATTTATGGCATCATGAAAGGAGCGCAGTTAAAATGGCAAATTGACCAAATTGTACACAACTACATTCATGTCACTTTGTCATTTGTATCCGGCCTGCTACCACGGCAAGGCCAGGGTCGACCCTCACCCTCAAGTGTCGTTCTGCCATGCCCACATATTCGGTCTTGCAAATACATGTAAATTGGTAAAGGATGCGTGAACGGCTGGACAGCGACAGCGGAGGTTTAACCGATGGAGTAGGGATACGATTCGTTGTGTAGATGAGTACTAGTTCCGCCGCAGGGTATACGCGCACCACTGCGGATTCCAATCGGCGTTGAAAACCTGACATACGTCGTCGCACTTGAATGGCAATTGCAGGATTATCTTCATTTTTGCTACCGTGGGCACACATGTTTTCTCTTTCTCAGCACTAAACTGAGTGATGAAAGACGGTCATCATCATCATCAACAGCAGTACATCAGCCATTTGAACTGATGCTTCGCTGCCATACAACCAGGAGGACCTATGAAATAAAGAATAAGAAAAGGGAGAGAAGGGGGGACTTACCTGAAAACCTTAATGCCCTAAGCAAACATTCAGGGTCAAGGCGCCTACACCTTGTGTAGACAACATTCCGTCACAAACAACTGGCTATCGTGCAAAGGTAAGGCAGCATTGGCGAGACAGCTTCCTTGCGGCTTTCACTGCCACGCGTCATAATCAGCCATTACCCTGCAGATAACTCAGCACCAAACACACTTTAAACAGACAATCCGATTAGGAGACGGCAGCAGACGCGCCACTGGTGTCGGTTGCGAGCCATGTCCTGTAAAGTCTCGAGCCAAGCACAAGGTGAGTCACGTGGACTCCAACCCGGAAGGCGAGACGGACCAACGGCACCCAGTTTGGTCGTCAGTGACTTCATTTCCCGCTGCCAAGTCAACTTCTGTCCACCTCGAGCCTTGCGCCATCCTACACCTGGTAGACTGAACAAGGCCCTCCTAGGTAAGCGGTGACCAGGCATGCGTAGCC